GATATATAGTACAAAAAACTCAAACAGATTTGAATTACTAAAGGAGTTTTCAGATTCTGCAATAAAGTGAAAATACAGTACATACAAGTTAACATGTTTCACACTTTCAAATAAAATAGCCTTAAAGAAGCAAATATCAAACAATTCACTGCTACTATAACAAGTAATCAGTTCTTGTATATATATTTAGAGATATAAAGATAGCCTGGAAATGGAGAAACTTAGAGAGTAAGGAGAGTACAATTAGACAATCACGAGTGTTAAATGCATAGTATAGGCATTTAGTGCATCTGTGCTTTGTAATAGGAATAGCATTTTGCCCAGCAAGACCTCACAAAGCCAATGAAGAGCTGCAACAAGATGATGGGTAGGGATAGAATATACATAAAAATGGTAATGATACCCATGTTTAAATGACTTCCCTAAGGATTTAAAAGCAAATTTATTTTTATATCTTCCCCTGAAAATAATATAACAAATCCAATAGTATTTTGAGTTGAAAATCTTTATATGTTCTTTTCTCACTTGGGTTTATTCAGGCATGTGCTTGAATTGGTAGCAATGCCCAAATATCTTTAATCTGAAAATAATTGGTAAAATCTACTTGTGTCATGGTCAGGCATGTTATACATTAGCTTCACCATTACTTACCTAATTTTCAACAGTAAAACTCATATGACATGTCTGTTTCTCTTTGCTTTTCCTAGTTGCAACTTATTCACAGATAGCAAGACAATGAAAATGTTATCAAACCCCTCTTTCACTATGCAAATTAGATGCCATGTAAATCCATCCTTTTGTTTGTATGTATTTCTCTCATTATCCATCCAGATTCTAAGAAGGCAGGTGTCACCCACTACCTATAGTAGTGGTTGGCTATTCTGCCTATAGAAAAGGTCAACAGTAAATCATACATAAAATTTTATACTACTGAAAATGCTCCTCCTATGTTAACTAAAGTCTGTATTCTGCTAAGTTTTAAAGCGTAAATATTCATTTTCTTTTGTGGCCTCAAAAATTTCCAGAAGAACAGCCCAAAATATGACATCACACACTTCACGCCTAAACTTCACATCCATCACATGGTCACACCACAGAGGTAAAGTTTGCAAAGAGAAGAATCCTTATTTTCAAACAGAAAACCAAAAATTTGGTATTATCTTTTCTTCATTAACACTGCAATGCAGTTTGTAACTAGTCATTAATATCATACTATCATCATCATGGTATAATCTCCCATAAAGTTGTGAAAGTGACTTCAAGAACAATTTGATTATGACAAATTAGTATTTTTCTGTACTCTCAACATGGAAAGAAGGAAAGGTTTGCTAATTATAAATGATTCTGTAATAATCAAATAAAGCATATGACCTAAGTTATGATTCTGTGTGTGTGTGTGGACATCCTTACAACCTCAAGAGTGAAGGAAAATACACTAAGAAAAACTAAAGATATTTTCTCTGTGAAATGAAGAAATTCTACCTACTCCTCAAATCTTTCAAATAAACATGTTTTAAAAAACAAAGCTGAGGAAGGGAAAGAACAGATGGGTTTATGAAAATAGAGTGAGCAACACCAGAATTACCATTAGAGTGGCCATGCAGAAGAGACTAAAAAATGCTGCACAAGATAGTATTAGAAACCTGTTAAGTTTTACTGAGAGGCATAAAATTACCTGAGTAAATACTGATAAATTATACAGGGATGATCAGCACTATAAAAACAAATTCTTCTGAGGTGTCTATGTTGAAATAATAAATCCCACTCATAATCAGAATGTACAAAATAAGTATTTGAAAGGAAAAATGAGAGATATATTATAAAAACTAATACACATTTGACCACTCACTTGGAAGGCACACAAGAGCATACATAGAAGCAAATATAACAATACATTAATGACAATTATCCCTTAATGGAGAGATCATTGTTGATTTAATTTCTATTTGTATCATGTGGCACAATTAAGTGAAGTAGCAGATTCTTGTGAGCTTTAGCAATATTGTGAAGCTCAACTGAAATGTAGATGGAAATGTTTTATAGGCTATGAGATGTTATTAGTGTGAAAATCTTTTTTTTTAAAGATTTATTTATTTGTTTGTTTGTTTATTTATTTATTTATTTATATAAGCACTGGGTACAGTCAGAAGCGCGGGAGGGTGAGAGAATTCACCAGAGTCAGAGTGAGCGGGGAACAGAACAGGCAGACTGACGAACTACACTGCTGAGGGGAGCAGCAGGAGGCAGGAGAGGTCTGCATGCCATGTGGGACCCTCACACCGGCGGCCCGGGATCGAACCAGCGAGGCAGAGGCTGGGGGAAACTTCACAGTCCAGCACTAAACCACTGTGCCACCAGGGGAGGCCCTATATATATATTTTTTTTATAACATAGTATAAGAACAGGGGTTCTTAGCCAAATGTCTGATTTCAAGTGCTAGTTATACTATTTACAAGATAAAAATGTTGGACAATGCAATTGAATTTGGCTTTGATTCTCTCAAATGGAAAACATTCAGATTCATTATTACTATTTCCTAACTCACCATTCTCAGGACCACTTAACTAGTTACATGAGATATATGTCTCAGAGTTATGTTTGAAATGTATTTATCACTTGCCATCAAAAGTGTCCACTGCACTGTCCCTCAGCCCATTGTAGCACAATCAACATATATTACTTGTTGTTTCCCTACTATTGCCACCTTCAGGATTCTCATGTTACATACTAGAACTTTTTGGAGGAAATAAATTATTTATCCTCTATCTCATTATTAAACTAGCTGAAGAATTCACTTTCCATTTGAAAGAATCAAAGCCAAATTCAATTGCATTTTCCAACATTTTTATCTTGTAAACAGTAGAACTAGCATTTGAAATCAGACATTTGGCTAAGAACCCCTGCTCTTACACTATTTTATGAAAATATATGTAATTGCTGCCTTAATTGCCTTTAAGTGTTTTTTTTTTAATTTTTTTTTAAGTGGCAGTAACATGAAGAATGGACTTGATGTTATATGAAAAAAAAAAATATGTGTATCACTAAGGGCAAAGCTCTATCATTTTTCTTACATTCACATAAACTATTAACTCACCCTTTACAAATGCAAATCTAAAACATACCCTGAGTAACTATTTATTTTCCAGATTTTTCTGCGCTCTCCAGGGACTTTCCAATCACACTACAGTCACACCTTTTAAGATTTCATTATCTTTTAACAGGAATAATGCCCTGATTTCAAGTTCTATTCTTATTGTACTCCTAAGCTAGACTAACATTACTAAAGCAGTAATTGAGCATGTTTGTTCCCTACAAATGTCGCAATCACTTTTTGAATGTGGGATGTAGCAATAAGTAAGAGGTGGATTCCTGGTAAGAAACAAACTCACATTTGAAAGAGGCAAAGTGTAAGCTGAATCAATAAAACATTAAGCCAAATTCAGTGAAAATTAGGGAAATGTCAGAACAGGGAGTTGTGGATATTTGCATTTTAAAAGAGATTGCCATATGTCTATCTCCAATAATATTTTCCCATCTTCAACTCTACCACTACTCCAAAACATAGTGATTCCACACTGAGGATTTTATAAATGAAACCAAGAGCAGTTTCTCAGAACCAAAATAACATGGGTTTCATTGTTTTTTCAGGTCAAGTATAAATCCATTTACTAAACTCCACTACATTCAAGCCACAATGTCCCCTTTCAATTTGGGTTCCTGCAATGACATAAACAAATTCCTCTCTCTAGTCAGTTGTATTATGTCTCTCTATGTCTATACAACTGATAGAAAATGCAAAAATATACCCCAATTTAGTCATTCTCTTCCTAGTATTTTTGAGGTTTTTAATTCTCAGTGCTTTGCAAATAAGTGAATCATTGCAACAAGTTTTGATGAATGGGCTGTTAGTGACAGGCCTATATATCACTGCTAGGGTATGAGGGTAAGACCTTCTAGTTCTTTCCTTTTTTGCTGCACAGTGTGAGAAAGAATCCTATTCTTTATATTTCAGCTTTGGGATGGTGGAATCTGGCACCTTTCATCAATGGGTCAACTTTGTGATATAGTGTACCCCATCTGATCCCCATGGATCATATAAAATTATAAATAGAATTATGTCTTATTTAATCGCTGAGAAATGGGGATAGCTTGTTATTACAGCATATCTTAGCCTATTCTGTCCAAAAAGGAACTTTATTAATACCACTTCAGAAATTTCCAGGCTATGAAATATATGAATACTTTCCCAAGTAAAACAGGATGTATTTTTTAAGGTGAGGAAGAATAAAACAACCTAACTCCAAAGAAAAAAATATAACAAATAATTTTAAAATAATCCTTAGACTGTTCTGGGAAGTTTGCTTTCATAAAGGCCAGTATATCATCTATGGATATGTATCTGCATTCTTTTTTCTTTTCTTTATCCTGTTTTCATATTATACAATTACAAAGAGGACATTGATCTTAATATCCATCTATGTAATCATTTCTATGTATCTTATTTTATGTGGAAAGGAATTTAGTTCTCAGAATAGAAATTCATGAATGTTCACAGGAAACATCACAAAAATACCAAAGAATTAGACACATGAAACAAAAAAAAGAAGACTCCTCTACGTGCTTATATGAATATGTCTTGCACATCCCTTTCTACTTTTTAGGACACCTTAAAGTCAGCATGTTATTATTATCAAAGACAGAAGCCTTGATTATTTTCCTCTAGTGATTTTGGTGATGTGTTGCTCTGACATCAAAGAAATCCACTCCCACCCCACCCCCACCCCACCCCCAGAATTACTTGTATTTACCTTCTTAGGGATTCTCTTTAGTTATTTGAAGTATTTTCGGTCAGAATGATTTGACAAAGGATTGCTTCTTACCAGTTTTTATTGCTATATGACTTTTTGGAATTCATCTCCAGTATAACATGGTTTTGTCCCACTCAAATGTGGAATGATTTTAGGCCTACCCTAAAAAATGTTTTTCCTTTTCCTCATCAGAAATACTATTATACAACTGAACAGTTACCACTGCCAAGACATTACATCCCACTACTTGAATTCCCAAGAAAGCCAGCTGGACCATGCCAAAGGTAAGATGAGAGAGACACTACATGTTTCCACAATGTTCATTTAAGGATATTATAAATAGAGAAAGACTAGTGACAATAATGTACAAGCAGATGAAGCAGAAAGAGCTCCTTTTCTGCTGCAGCAGCTCCAAATTTCTCCCCCATGTCTTGATCCTATTAATTTGCAAAAACTACAGTATGCCTCTACTCACTTATCCAGGGATGAGTAATTCCATAGATTGAATTATTTTAGAGATAAGTTTTCCTCACATATGAACATTGAAACAAAATTGGATCATTTACTAAATTTCATTTTGGTTTAATAGCCTTAGGTTAAAAATGAAAATTTAAAAAATGGCCTTGGTTTGACCTTTCCTTTCTTACTTCAAATGGTCATCATAGAGGGTTTTAAATAAAAGATGATTATATTAACTGAGCCTCTTTCAAAGGTCAGCTTGTCTATTTGTCTGAATTGTTTTGTTATTCTAAGAGACAGTCATGTTTTCATTTCGGTGCCATCCATATGTGTGGCTAAATAGTATTCATTGTTTCAAAATAGCAATTTCATGGTTGTGTTTAAAGTACAAAACATCAGTTAAAAGACTCCAATGTGAATTTCCTGTATTCCTTACCATAATAGGAATGAGCCTTAGCAATAAGGAAATAGTGGCTTCCTTGGGAAGCACAGGTAAGTGTTCAACGGAAGTGCGGAATGGACACAAAGACAAGCTTTGCCTACTTTTCAATTATTTTTCTAGGAATACTTCCCCCACATAAACAGCATTTCTTTATATCAAAGTTGACATGAAATACATTAAGATTTACACAACAGAGAACTGTTGAAACAATGCCCAGCCTAAAAATTAACTTCATATGAAGAGAAAGAGAATTGTGAATGGTCCTGGGAGAGAAACAAGTTGACTTAAAATAGTTGGTTTGTGACTATTGACCAGAACTATGTGATCAACATCCCCATGAGCATGAAGCTGTAGTAAGTTAAATGCTGTGTGGGAGAGGAAGTAGGGAAGAATATATTTAACATGGATTTCTGAAGAATTTCCTTGAAAACAGGAACCTCACATAATTCTGCTTTTTAACTTAAGAAAACAAGCAAAATTACAGAATTTCTGTAACATTTGCTTAATGTGAGTATAATAATAAAATTTTGGCTTTCAAATTCATATTCTATTTAGAAACTATTCAACATATAGGACAGGAGATAGAGTTATACAGAATGGCCCCTGTGTACCAAGAACTTAACACCAGCAGGATCTGCCACATCAACAATAAAGGAGTGTTATTTTGGGTACATGAACCCTTTATCCACGTGTAGGCTTTTATTATTGTGTTGGGAAATCTGGTGTGCATCTCTTTTTTAAAACGTGTAATACCACAATTATCCTAAACTTATCTTGCATGGTTTAAAAGAGCATAACTCTGCAAGATAGAAATGAAAATGAGCTGCAATTTTATACAAGTGCTTACTGTGATTGTAAAAGTGACCAACTGGGAAGACTGAATTGATTTCCAGATGACTTCATATCATACTTTCTTGTATTTACACTATGTCAGGTCACAGGAAGGAAAGCAATAGTTGTGAGCAAAACATTTTAAAAAATCTCTCTGTCAATATTTAGTTTCAATTTTATTTAAGTGATTAAAACTCTTCTTCATTCAACACAAGTATCAATTATGAATTGTGGAAATATTTACAATTAGATGTAGAAGATATTTTAATATTAAAACTGAAAATGGAATAATTTCTTGCCTGCTATTTTCAATTTTTACATAAAGCATTTTTTTATTTCTAGAAATCAGGGCTCAGGAAAAATATGTTGAGCAGTACATTATAAATATTTGGTTCAAATTTTCTTTTAATCCCACTGTATTTTCAGGTTACATATTTGTATTGTACATTACACACATTTATAAAATTGTTCAATACGAGTGAGTCTATAGTAAACTGCCATTCTGAAGAATAGCACTGTTAATCAGTTCAGGAAAGGTCATGCTTTGTTTGCTTGCTCTATAAATCATGCACACATTTCTCCTAAGTGGCTTAAAGATGTGCAAGGTCTCCATTCCACTGAGCAAGGTAACTGCCTATTTTTAAAAGAAAATTTTCTACAACTATAAAGGAAAAAGTGGCAAGGTTCACATTATACGTAAATACAACTAGCAGTACCTTCAATGACTACAATCAGCCTGTGAAAATGAAACCCAAATGACTGGAAACAGAAGGCACTTACTAAGTTAGTCGTTGATTGATTTATTTGGGAGGGTCCCAGTAAAAATTTGACATTGATTTATCTTTTCATCTAACAGAATAACAACAAATCTTAAAGCAATCAGTTTTAATGGCCTTAATAACTCCAATCAAATTATTCACCTTCCACATTAATATAGGAGGTTGGCTTCATATTTATTCATCAGATTTGTCAAATAAATATCACTATTTGCCAAACTAAATCTTATATTCTTAATAGATTCTGTTAGCATTTTGTTTTAATTGCCCCCCCCCCTCATAATTTAGGTGACTATAGTTCTCAGTGTTCAAGGCATATTTACGGTCCTGCCTATGCTTTGCACTCCTGTATAATTTTGAGGAAAGTCTCTCCATTTCTTAAATGTCCTGATTTGAAAGGTAAAGCATATGGCCATCATGCTCATAATTCTGTTTTTATTATTTCTTCTTTCTTTAGGGTCTATTAAAGCTAAACTTGTTTAAGTTAGGGTGAGCTAGTATGTGAAAAAAAAAAGTCCTATTTAAATCTGCCTGCTATTTCCTCTCCAATTCAAAGAAAGAACTTTTCTTCAGCTCTATCATCTGTCCAATTTGTCAAAAATAGTAGCCTAGCAAGATAATATTTTACTATAGGCTCCCTATATGGTTTCCTTTTCAGTGCCTTAATTTGAAAAATATTTTTTTGTCCTTCTGTCAATAGTAGAATGTTAAAACACTACTTGATTTTATTTGCTCTAAACTTTCTTAACACAATTTTAAATGTCTAAGATGATGATATCTTAACCCTGTTTTCTAATATTGATTATATTTGGCATTGGTTTTATATTCTACAACTACAGGGATTCTGTTTGTGATGAAAATCGTGAGCACAAAGGCATCTTTAGGACACTGTTGGAGTCACACTGAGGCTTTCACCATCATAGGCTTTTCATAGAGATGTGCTATAGAGGCCACCTCCAGGTCTCCATGGGGTGATGATAGGTGAGTAAAATGGACAGACGATTGGGAGGATGTGCTCAACCGTCACAAGGCAAAGTTGATACCAGGAAAGAGAAATCAATGTCACAGCAATACAGCTTCTACCGAGAAAAACTTAATGGGTTTCTCATTTAGCTGGACTGTAAATTTGATCCTGTGCAACATTTACTTTCTTTATTTAGATCAGGATTAAAAGGGAACACCTAAAAAGGCCACATAGGATAAAGAGAGTATGAAATGCCTTTGAAGAGATGAACATTTCCCAGTGGATATAAATAGATTGTTGTTTTGATCCATTTAAAAGGTCATTAGTCAAATGTTCTGTTTCTTTTTCTCTAGTTCTCATTTCCCCCCATGTAATTCTCAAGCACAGAAGCAGACATTAGAAAAAAGACATTAAATCAACAAGCCAACCTCTCTCTATTGCTAACAAAACACAGATTTATATTTTTAGTCTTTTTAAAAATTCAAGTTTCATGTGTTTTTTATATGAAACAATTTTTAATTTAACTAAAATGCACTTAAACTAATTAGAAAACTAAAGAAAGAAATGATGATTGCAGTAACCCTCTTCCAACCATAAGAATTTGAGAAATCATGTTGGCAATTTTTGCTCTCTTTCTGAAATTATAACCAGATAAAGTCATTAACTTGAAGTGTTCTGTTCTGAAATTAAAATTTATATTAAAGATCTAGCAAATTATTAATAGCTGATAATCAGATTTGTACCAAGTTGACAAAGCCAACTGTGAGGTGCTAATAGGCCCTAGTGGGGAAACCAGTCTTCACTTAAAGAAACCATATGGTTGCACTCGAGTATTTGACAAGAACACAGAGAACAAAATAGATAATTTCATTTGGGGCCTAAAATATTCATGGCAGGCAAGGTAGACAATGACAAACAGGAAAAAAATATTGTTCTCAATCTTAATTATTTACATGGGACTGGAAAGAAACAATGCATAAAGAAACAGAACATGATCCCAGGAAAACACTACAGCAACCTAGATTGTAAACCCATACCTAATTTTTAAGTAAACAGCATTTAATAATTAACAAGTATTTATTAAACACAGATCACCAGGAACCATATTGGATACTGGGCTATGACGTGACAAAGGCACAGTCCTTCCTATTGAGGAACTTACCTAAAAGTAGGGGAGGAGACAATGAATGGCAGGGAGTCTTCCTGGAAGAGGTGCCACCCACATTGAGGCCCCCATGTGAGGAAGAGAGAGATATTCTCTTAGGGAAATGAAGGGTAAATGAAGTGTGTGATTCCCCAGATGTGATGCAGACCATTAATAGTGCCCTGGGGAATTTGATACAAAAATCTAGAAGACAGAATTGAAAGGACACGATCTATACCTTGACTTTCATACAGCTCAGTTAATACTGTGATATAAAGTAGGTCATCAACAGAAATTATTTCAAATTAAATTATGAGAATTTCTAAATTTTTACATTGCTATCATTCTATTCTGTCCTAAACAATGACACCCTCAAATTTCCCTTAATTTGTTTGCCTTAAGCTGAAGCCAATTTGCTTAGATCCCTTTGCAAACCATATGTCCCAATCATCAGACAAACTTGACAGATATAAAATCTGGACTTATCATCCAGACCTGACCCCTTTCTTGTATTCCATAAACTAGTGAAGACAATCTGTATTCACCTTCAATCTAAAGAAAGAACCAAGTAATCTCCCCAGTCTCTTTTCTCTCCCTACCATACCATAACGTTGGATCACCTCAAAATCAGTTTCAATTTTACCTTTTAAACGTGTCTTTAATTAGGTCTCTTTCTCTCCATCTCCACTGACAATACTGGTTCAGCTCTAGTATCTGTAATTGCCTCCTAACATTTAATTTTGTCCATTATCATATAAACTATCCTGCCAGAATGACCTTTCTAAAATGTAAACTTGATCAAATTATTCATTTGGTGAAATGCTCCAGTGATTGTGAAGACATAGAGGAGACTCTGCAGCCTGCAGGATCTGAATGCCCTGAGGATCAAATTGCTGATTCTTTGCACGACCAGGTCACTTTTCCCAGAATCTACTCTATAATGTGTGACAGTGATACTTCTCCATATATCTCTATTATAACAGCATTGATATAATTTAAAGACTTAAAAGTGGGCCTCCCCTGGTGGCACAGGCAGTTGAGCTATCCACAGCCTCTGCAGGGTGGGTTCAATCCCGGCCGGCCAGTGAGGGTCCCACATAGCGTAGCAGACCTCTCCTGTCACACCTGCTGCTCCCCTCAGCAGTGTATTTCATAAATCTGCCTGTTCTGTTCCCCACTCTGTCTCTGGTGAATCCTCTCACCCTCCCGCACATCTGGCCTATTTTTCTTGTATAAAATAAGTAAATCTTTAAAAAAAAAAAAGACTTAAAAGTGTATTATAATATAATCTAAAAAATTAGGAAACATGAAGGGAAAAATATAATATGAATATACTTAATACCAGGCCTCCTGAATTTGCTATATATGCTTCAGGACTTGTGTTAGTTTGTGTTCTTTAGAGAAATAAAACCAATAGGATGGCTGGATGGATGGCTGGATGGATGGCTGGATGAATGGATGGACGGACAGACGGGCAGGCAAAACACAGATAGATATGACAGAAATACATTAGTGGGGACTGAGAGAGATAGAGTATGATTTTGTAGAATTGGTATATGTAGTTTTGGAAGCCAAGAAATCCCAGTATTTACAGTCCTCAAATGGAAGCTCATGAGTATTGATGATATAGGTCCAATGTGACTCCAAGATAGATCTAAGAATGAGAATAATCAATGTAAATTCCTGATTGTATCTTAGCCCAAAGTCAGAACATACCTGTATCAGATAAAACACTGTCAGGCATTTCAGGCAAATTGTCTGCTACTCAAACTTTTTTGTTCCATTCAGGCCTCCAAAGAATTGGAAGGGGGCAACCAGATTTACATCTACCAGTTCAAATGTCAATCTTATCCAGAATCACCCTCACAGACACAGCCAGAATATTAATCAAATATCTGGGTATCTCATGGTCAAGAGTTCAAATAAAATTGACAATCACAAGACTTCTAAATGTTAGGAAACACTAAATATTAGTGCTTTTACACCACTTACTATTGCTATCATTTAAGAAAGTCAATGGTGGGCCTCCCTGGTGGTGCAAGGGGTTAAGACGCAACCTATGAAGCTGTCCACAGACACTGCAGCACGAGTTCGAGTTTGATCCTTGGCTGGCCAGGGAGCAATCCACATGGCGAGGCAGGCCTCTCCTGACTCGCCGACTGCTCCCTTCAGCAGTGTCTTCGGTCAGTCTGTTGTTCTGTTCCCCACTCTATCTCTGGTGAATCCTCTCACTGCCCCCACACTTCTGGCCTGTACCCCATATATGCTTTATATAATATAACATATATGCTTTATATATGCTTTATATAACATATGCTTTATATAACACACCATACATATATGCTTTATATAATATAACACACCAGACATTATAACACACCAGACATTTATTTAATGGAGCAAATTTATCTATTTATTTTCCCTATGGGCTGATTCAAGATGTTCACTATTAAAAGTTATGCTGTTATGCACAGTTTTCTCTCTCTCCTTATATACATCATAATGCTAAGAATATCACTGCTAATATCATTAGTTGTTTTGTAAAAAATCTTTAGGTATTAACATACTTAACTACAAAGAGTGAAGTGGTTGAGATATCCATGAGTAGTATGAAGAAGTCTACATTTGTTGGCAGCTGGAGGTGACACTAGTTATTATGAGATTTATTTTTATCAATATACAGGAAATCTGAAAATATCTTATTGTTTCAAACTGTGTCCCTGTTACTTTTTGCTGCATAGAAAACAACCCCCAAATTTAAAGAGAACAATTAAGACAAGTTCTGAGTGGGATGTGTTGTGTTTCTGCCTTAAATCATGATCTCATGGGAAGACTTGAACAGTTGGTAATGATGAGCAGTGGTGAGAATAGAGACCAAACTACCTACACGTAGCCTCTATAGCCTTCTGGGCACAGATCCTCAAGGAAGTCAGATCTAGGACTCAGTATCAGGTCACCAAAGATGAATGTGCATGGAGGTTTATGACCTAAGCTTGGAAGTAACAAAGTATCAATTCTGTCATACTTTTTATTGAACTTGTTATCCATCCACCCAAACTCAAGGGACGGGATTTTAGTGCCAAAATCTGGATGGAATGGTATCCAAAAAAGTTGTAATGTTTTAAAACTATCCACAGAAATATATCTATTATTACTAAAGTGTTTTTTATATGTTTTCTCTATTCACCCACCTTTGAGGTAATTACCATATATTGCTCATTGTTAGTGCTGCTCATCACTCATTAATAGGAATTTTTATTTGATTTCACATCTTTTGAGAATGACAAAAATGCAAGTATCTTCTTTTGTATTTTAAATATTTTTGTGATGTCTTTGCTGATAATAAATCAAATTAAAAGCAGTAAAATGTACACATTCCTTTCCTTAAGAAGTACATATTCTGTGGCTTGTAACAACTTTCCCAACTCAGAAGTATGCTGTTGCACTAAATACTAAATATTTTAGGTTTTAATTAAAAAATAAAGCATTAGTATATAGAATGTGCTTTTGTGCTTTATAGGCTATCTATTCTTTGTTTGATCTCAGCTTGTCTCTCTAGATGATTTATATAGAAATATACATCTACACATTTTAAGTACATACATATAAGTATGCATGTATATTATTATATGATACACAAGTATATATGCTATAGTACCAATATCTACATTTTTTCTATTTTATATGGCATATTCACATGCATTTTTGTGTTTGTATTTGCTTATTTCTATATTATATTTTTTGTGCAGATGTACATATGAAAACCTCCATACCTTTATAATATTTTGCTATCTGAAAATGAGACTATCCTTTATTCTTCAAAGTTGTCTTCACTAATCTCTTTCATATGAATTTCAGAATTATGTTATCACC